ATCAATTACTTTTTGTAAATTTATATTTTTATACATTAATGCGCACATTTGATCTTGCTAGTTAACTTTTTTTTTAAAGACATCTCCCGCATTACGAATTATTCTGTTTCGCGGGGGACTTTACAAACATACATGAAACGGACACAAAGAACACCCAGACTCAGAACAACAATTTGTAGATCACACAAAGTCTCGTCCCGTGTCGATCGGACCCACAACACTCAGCGCAGTATTGAGCGGGGCGACCGCTTAAACCACTACGCCATCCAAGCAGTCAGTACTTAAGTTGCACTAAAGTGGAATGTACTGTTGCTGAAAATGTATTCGAAGGTTCTTATTCAGATTTATGTGTTACTACTATTTAATTAACTGCCAAGAATCTGCAGTCAATATGATATCTTGTCATAGACAATGAACATAGATCTCACTAAATCTTATTTAAGGTATGGAAAATCCTGAAGAGAAATATTGTGTATCTGTTGATTTCTTATCTCTATTTATCTGGTGCTTAAAGGTGCTTCCTATTTTTTTTTTGATAATAATAACTTAAAAGTTTAATCAACTGTTATTTTATTATTTAGTTTTATTTACGTAATCATTATGTATTTTTTTCTTTCATTAAATTTTGTCAGATTTAAGATGTGTGCCTGGTATGTAAGTAATATAATATAATATTTTCACACATCTCACACACGGCCGTTTGATCCCAACTAGGCAGAGCCTGTACTATTGTTACCAGACTGCTGAACTTTGTTATATTTTTATCAGCTTCAAAAGGTTAGATTTAATCAACCTAACGTCATCACCAGGGCCTGAGAAACGGCTACCATATCCAAGTAAGGCAGTCGTAACCCAATCGTGGCACGATAGGTTATTTTTTAAAAAATATAACTAAAATTAAAAAAATAATTAAAAATAAAACTAATTACTGCGGTATAATAGTAAACTAAACCAAGAAGAGCCTGTACTATGGTAACCAGACTGCTGATAAACATACTTATATATTTCTAAATACATACATATGATAGATAACTTACATCCAGACACAGAACAAACGATCGTACTCATCACACAATTTAGGTATATATAGAAGTGAACCTCAAAAAAGTATTAAATAAAATCAAGAAACTTTAAATTCAGAAACATTCAGCATACAAGAATATTAGTAAGACAATTTGTGGAGTGTTCCCTATTCTATGAACGTGTAATTTTATTATCATTGTATGTATAACATTGTCGCAGACACACACACACACACACACTCACACCCAGCCACAGAACAAATGATCGTGCTCATCAATTATCGCTCGTCAATTATTTGTCCTCGGCGGGAATCGAACCCACAACCTCTAGCGTAGCAGTCAGGGTCACTAACCACTAGACCAACAGGCCAGTAAGTACTCGTTGCTACTTTAGTTTGGATGCTGTAGTCTCCTGAAATTTAAGGAGTTCATGGCATTATTAATGGTCATTATCCACTGTGATATTACTTTGACATTCCTTTGTTGGAGACAGAAAATATAAAAAATAATAAGTAATAATAAGAAAAGAAAAATTCTTACAATAGTCTTGTAAGTATTTTAGTAAGTATTTGTGTTTGCAATGACTGATTTTTATAAGAAAAAGATAAAATAGAATTCTAATAATCGTGTCATACGTAAATGTATCTGTATCTGTATCTTAAGTTTTCTGGAATGTAATAAATTGATTATTCTAAAGACTACATTTTGTATCTCAGACATCCTTCGATCACTGACAGGGACCCTAAGTCAATCAGTGAAGTCTCCTGTCGCGACTGTATCAGACTAGACTAGACTGTATCAGATACACGTGAGTAAAACCGCATATATCTTTAAAAAATACAAATAATCAAATCAAATCAAATCAAATCAAATCAAATCAAATCTTTATTTTCCAACCAAGTGTACATCAATGATCTTCTAATATTATATGTAGTAGTCCCAACTTAGAAGCCTTTTCCAGGCATTGCAAAATTTGAGAGAGAACCCCAGTCATAAAAGTTTTTATCTAATAACACAAATAAATTGCACTTTTTTATTTAGTCTAGGTATTATGCAGCGATCTCGATCTAGATTCAAGATGCATTAGAACATTTTATTATCCAGATGATAACATTTATATGTAATAAATTAATTTCTATTTCAAATCAATCATTGCAGAATTAATTAAAAATAATCTCCAACATAATGCTGCAAGAGCCTGTAACGTGCCAACAAAAAAGACTGCAAAGGCACCGAATGTGCGATCGATCCAATCTGTCAGATTAAAATCTACATAAAATAAAACGAACAACTTCTTAACATCGCAAAAAAGTTTAGATAAAAACTATTAAAACCTCAACTATACGTCATATTTATTCGCATTTAACAACGCAATAATTCAGAGAGATTTATTAATTAATACACGTCAAAGTCTAGATGTTGATATAAAAAGAACGAACGAACATAAATCATCTGGTCTGAGAATGTTCGATAAACAAAAGAAAATTGCTCAAGAAACGCTGGAGGGTTTTGACTGGTAGAATTTATTAACAAAATTACTCAAAGACAATGAAGGATATTTAGAAGCGGAGAAGACAAATTGTTGGAGGTATTGTATAGATAAACAAACTGAGGCTAGATTCAAAGGAGTGGGAGAATAAGATCCACTTGTTTGGTGTGTCAGAATTAGCGATTATCATAATGAGCATACAGGGAAGCGAACATGGTTAAAGAGACCACAAATATGATGAGACATTTCTAGTGACAGTAATCAATGTTTCGCGATGTTTATAATCTTGTTTTGATCTGCATTAACATGGTAACATACTCATACGGATTAAATTTTAATTTACAATAAATATTAGTATCTAGAACTACTGCAGCTAAGTAGTATCAATTGTAATGTTAACTTTCTATTGTATGTTCATTCGAATAGTATTTGGTATTGATATTGGTTGTGGGTTCCGATTTTCGCATATAGACTCGAGGGTGCGTCTTTTATGAGTCTAGAAGAGGTTTGCTAGGTGAGCCAACCAAGCTCCTTCCAGAAGCACAGAAGCCTCCTGGGGCAAATTGCTCCTAGAAGCCTGTAGGCTTCTAGGAGCAATTTTGTATTAATCGCATTCCAGTATTACGTGGGCGGCCTTTTCGTCTGCTTTCAGGCATCCTCTGCAAAGAAGACTGTCCATTGCATTAATGATGTACAGTTGTCAGTTCAGGGCTAGGTGTCCTGTTATGGTTCCTGCAACTATTCGGATATCTAGTTGCAGTTTGGACTGTCTGCAGTCGGGTGAATTTTTCCACCTTCGTCGTTTTCGGTACATATAGTATGTACCCAAGACGATATTGCATAATACATACATTATTCTCTTTAAAAAAAGTATCAATGACTTAAATACGCACTTTGCACTCTTATGGGTATTACTTTTTGTTACAAATAATAAAGGATATTTATTTCTGTAAGTAAGTACGTAAGTTCATCTTTGAATAGGGCCAAACAGAAAAAAAGACCCTTCCGAATAAAGAAAGAAATCTTAAATCACTTTATAAATGACAGAGTAGTAGGTAATAAAGATCAAAAATACAAACGGATTGATAATAACATTTTTTGACATCTGTTCAATCTAAAATAAAGAAAAAAAGCCTTGAATATTTTATGGATTTCAAACAAGATAATAATAGCCGTCATGATGAACAGTTACTGAATGTTGATAAGCGTATCAAGTACAGTATGCTCATGACTTGTACCACAACATCACGAAGCATTCAAACCCTGTTCGTCATACTTGATGGATGGTAATGAATAGTACTTTTATGCACAGCCGAGGTGAATACCGTTTATTGTAGGGGATTGATTGTAGAACGCTGCCTGTTTGTTACCGACGTTTTAACTCCATTGCTTTTGAATGGATTATAAAGTACATTCACGATTCATTTAGTATGTAATGTAATGTAATGTAATAGCTAATGGCATTTTCAATGATTACTAAATGTGTGTCCAAAATTAAATAACTATTCTTTGGTGTATTAGGAATTGTATTAAGACACTTTTAGACAAACATTTTGACGTACTAAATCTACATGTCCGTTAACGGATGGGTTTTTAAATAGAAATGAATGAAAAGTAATTCATTATAATGATTTTCTAAGAAATTTTTACTTTTATTATCATTATTGAAAAAGACAACTCCCGCATTAGGAATAAATCCTGTGTCGCGGGGGACCTTACAAACATACATGAAACGGGCACAAAGAACACCCAGACTCAGAACCACAATTTGTGGATCACACAAAGTGTCGTCCCATGTGGGGTTTGAACCCACAACACTCGGCGTAGAAGGAAGCGGCGTGGCGACCGCTTAAACCACTACGCCATCCGTGCAGTACTTTTCTGTTATAATAGGTTTAGTTACTTTTTTACGTGTTTTCTTTGATAACAATCAAGTCTACAGATATCAATGTTTCAAAGTGTGTGTATCCGTGTGGTGACGGATTAAGAGTACACAGTGTCACCACCCTTATTCATGCCGTGTGTCTTGTAAGAGCCGATTAAGGGAGCAAACTACGCAGAACAATAGCACTGCAAAGAGAAGGAAATAATGAAACAAACCTGTACTAACCTGTCTGGCCAGCATGGTATAGTGGACCAAAACCTCCTTTCTAAGTAGAGGTCTATGTCCAGCAGTGGACTACTAAAGGCTGTTGATGAAATGTACATGAAAATATTACTCCAAGACTCTTCTTTTCTATGACATAGGGGGCAAAGGAGCAGACGGGTCACCTGTAATATACCGCCAAAACCTGCAACTTAGAGTTATTAGTGCGTTGTCACCTTTTGAGTAACCCCCCCCCCCCCCCTTCCAGAACTAGGAGCGATGAAGTTTGGACTCTGGTAACCTTACTCACTCGGTGAAAAGTAATGAAAGAATTGATTAGCTACATCAAGTTACTTACATCAATTTACCTTCTATCTGTCTGAAAACGATTAAATTTGCTAAAATGGTTAGCTTTCGGCAAAATCCGGCTTTAAAAGAACCAGTCAAAACCCTGAGTTACACATTGAGACAACCCCAAATAGTAATGAGAAAAGATGATGATTTGAATATGGGTGCTGCAGATTTAGTTTTATCTTATAACAAAGTCTTGAAAGCAGTACAAAGATTACTAAAAGAAGTTACGGTAAAACAATGACTGGTTAACGGCAGACGAAGCTTTGTGACTACACAAAGGGAGTGTGGCAAGACAAACGATACTAATTATTCATCATTAGAGGCAATCGTGGCACGGATGATGTATGGCGGGTTAAGACCATTCATCATCTGCCTTTTGTTTCAAAGTACAACGAGTATTTAATCATGTAGAAGATACGAGCATCCGACATTTTATTTTTACTTTACCGTTATTATATTTCCAACTCCTCCAAATTTCTTCTCATTAATTTCGTTGTGGGTTCCAAGACAGTTACAATTTTTCCTGGGACGTTAGGGTCATACCTCGGATTATTAGTGGGTTACTGCTGTTGATCCTGGTGATCAGGAGTGGAAGGGGTTAGGTCCCGTTGTTTACCGTTGGATACAATTTTATTGGAAATCACCTCAAAATCAATTTATCTGCAGTACTAATGCGCTTCGTCACGGTTTGAATGATACACAATAACTGCTTTGAACCACGACTAATCTACCCTAAAACTAAAAATAACGATGAAATGGCAAATTGTTATTTATACAAAAAGTATGAATACAGTTTTTAATAAACAAGTAACATAAGCTGCGTTGCGTAAGTCAACTAACAAAAAATATTTTATCTAAAGATCTATAAACTTCGTTTAAATCTTGCAACATTTTATTATTACATTACATAAAAGATTAGACTAACAAAAAAATAAAATAAATAAACATTCGCACTTTATACCTGTCAACTTATCTTTTGGAAACGAGACAACTAGCTTTAATGACCAACCACGGAAAAAAAAACGTAGCTTACAAAACACCTCGTTATGAGTTACCTTCATCAAGAACTGTCAAATTAATTGACAGCTCATACAGCTGATATGTATTGCCTGGCGTTTTAAATTTAAAACAAAATTAATTATACAATCAATCAGAAGACATGTCATGGCCGCAAAGGTGTTGCTTTTCGCGCGGCAAAATGCCAATCAATGTACAAAATGCTCACCCAAGCGATGCAGTGACTCCAATTTTAAAATGTATTCACTTATTTTTAATAATAAGAGTTATTACAACTCTATTTATACGACTGTAAAGTTCATTTTAAATTATTGTTTGTCGTGACATAAGTGCAAGCTTGCCTTTTTATGTTGGTAGTTTAACAGCCCGATTCGCCACACTTTAATCGAGTCGCACAATAAACCGAACCTGCTCAAGGTGAGAACGAGCTCAAAAGGCGCATTTGACAAGGAGAAATTTTTATGTTTCGCCTGTCATTTCACGCGCATTTAATGTTAATTCACACATTTCTTGTCTTTGGCTGAATGCCTTTTAATTTTCTTGATCGGAAATCGGCCGCGAATTTATGTGGACGCATGTTCAGTACTAACATTGCTGGCTGTAAAAGTTACGACAGGAACAGAAAGGAAAGACGGAATCGAGAAATAAAACTGTTTTCACATTCAAAATAGCGCTATATATTTTACAAAACGTTTATGATGGTGAATTTTATGTGGTGATTCATTTGGTATGGCATAAAAAATTATATGTTCTCGATAGGGAAACGGGCTTCACGTTAGTGGAGATTATGGCTTCCTGTGGAACGAATGATCTCGTGAAAATTAAACATTGGAGGAAACGGAATGATCGATACCACATATTTACGTCGAAGCTAATTTAATATTCCCGGATACTGCAGTTAGCAGTCGCCAGAATTTAGATAATTGATACAAATAAACTTTTTTAAACCATTTTTCAGCATCCTATACTCTAGCACATTCAAGGATATCTACAAATAAAAATGAGGAAATTATTTGCTGTAAACTGGTCACACTTATACCAGTGTTTTTGTATACGGTTGTCATTCAGCAAAAACACTTCTATATCTTTTGTAAAGTATTACAAATTGATTAAATAATGAACTAATACATTGATTGATCAAAGGCGAGCGACAAGCGTGGCCGATTTTTTAAAGTTTAAAAGAGACTTATCTTGAAAACAACCAATTAAATTAAAATAAGAAAGAAATCGGCACATAAATGCGAGGACAACACATAACATGCACACAAAACAATCAGTCAATATCACGACAACAATAAACATACTTTGATTAAAATATAATCGGTGAAGTCATAAATATCTAGTATGATATCAGAGTTTTTCTTTTACCTATTTTTATTATAATCTGATAGTATTTTTCTAGTTTTTATTATAATCTGATAGTATTTAGTAATTGTGTCTATAACTTACACAAAATTTTAATGATTTTCAGAGACCTCCAAAACACTGCGGGATAGATGCTTGTGCAATTTATAAAACTGAATGAATGTCTTTTAACTGAATCACATCAACAGCTTTTAATAGTCCACTGCTGGACATAGGCCTCTCCTTAGAAAGGAGGTTTTGGCCTACTATACTACGCTGGCCAGACGGGTTGGTATACGGTTTGTGTCAAGTTTGCCTTCTCTCTGCAGTGCTGTTGTTCTGCGTAGTTTTTTCTCTTAGTCGGCTCTTACGACACCCACGGGATGAATAGGGTGGTGACGCTTAATCTGTCACCACACGGACTAACTGAACTGAATAAATGATTTGAATTAGTCAGTGTTATACATTTGTGTAATGATACGCACCGTATGTATTTCGTATGAGCTTCTGTAGTATTGCGTTGTGAAATATGTGTCTCTTCAAGCTATTGCCGTCCAATGCTGAACGAAGGCCTCACCGAAGGAGCGCCAAGTATCCCAGTCCTGGTCAGTCGCATCCATCCGCTGCCAGCCATTGTCCTCAGGTCGTCGCTCCATCGTGATCGTGCCGCAGGGCACCCTACACTATGTTTGCCTAATCGTGGTCTCCACTTTAGCACATGTCGGCTCCAGAGACCATCAGTCCACCTGAAGACATGACCGGCCCACTTCAGGGTTGTGATTCTCCGTGCGATATCGGCTACTCCAGTTCTCTATTGAATAACTTCGTTATGAATTGTATCGACTAGAGAAACACCATATGAAATATGTATCAATGCAAAGGTTGACTGTGACATTAAGTCCGCCATTGTACAATTATTATTATTTTTTATGTCAGAGGGGGCAGACCAGCAGACGGGTCCCCTGATGGAAAGTGACCATCGCCGCCCATGAACGTCTGCAACTCAGGAGTCACAAACGCGTTGCCGGCCTTTTAGGAAGGAGTAAGCTCTTTTCTTGAGGGTTTGAAGGTCGTATCGGTCCGGAAATACCGCAGACGATAACCCATTCCACAGACTGGTTGTGCGGGGCAAAAAGTGTCTCGATAAGCGCACAGTAGTAGAGCGCCAACTATCCATGAGGTGGTGATGAGGATGAAAATTTTGCCGTGTGGAACGATGGCGGAAAGTTGCGACTGGTATTAGTCCGAACACCTCAGATCACTCTCCATGATATATGCGATAGAGAATGCAGAGTATTGAGTTGTAATTTCTGCATAAAGAATTAAATAAATAAATAAAATGCTGGTTACGTTGGATGATACCTATACCTATCTAAATGCGTCTTTTTATACAATTTCTTGAACTTAGTAGAACATAACATAAACCTCTATTTACCTGAACTTTAATTTTAGCGTTTAAAAGCCCACATTTTTCGAATTTCACAGTAAAACTAAATATCTATGTAAATGTGAACTCCGTCAAGTCCACAAGTAAAAAAAAAAAGAATCGTCAGCCACCACACGTTTAGTTGGCCAGGATTCAGACGTTTAGTTGGCCTCATCAATATTCATTGACCGCTTTTGTACATTGCGGGGTTTCCACAAACGACCTATGGAGTAGTTCCTTTATTTGAATAAAATAATAATACGGGCTGCTACGCCAAAATTCGAGGGTTCGATTCCCGCCCAATTCAAACATTTATGTGTGTTAACATTTAGTGTTTGATTTTGTTTTGGTATTTCTATGTACTCGTATTAAACGTATGTATGTAAAACAAAAAGGTATTTCTGTATGTATATCAGTTGTCCAGTACCCATTGTACCAGCTCTGCTTAATTTAGGACCAGATGGCATTATTTGCATCTGGTAGAATATTCTTATTATAACACAGGCCTTATAACACATTGTTCTCAAGACCCTAATTAGGTAGCCAGTGTCTTTAGATTGTCTCCAAAACTTTCTCTCCAAACTTGTATCCTTGGAGTATAGCAACAAACCTGCTAGTGACGAAGCACCATGTGGTTTTATCTGACAGAAAGCTGAATTAGGTCCGTTTTTGGCATCGTAGTTAATTCAAGCTGCAAAATTGTCTAAAGTGTTGTGTTATTGCCAAAATAAACGTTTTTTCTTTCTTTCTTTCTTCTTCTTTCTTGATTTTATTCGGTTCAAATCCGATAAACCACTTCAGTACTAGTCCCGGTAATATAATGACACTACACATTTCTTTTTCAACTAAGTAAAAAGGTTTTACTGTGGTTTTTAGAACACAGATGAACATTGTACAACACGCATTATAAAAAGACATCTTCAGGCATATATTTCTACTGAGTATCAACCGAACTCACGACCTTTCACGTTCCAGACGAATGCACCACCACGGTGGCTTACTATCAAATTTCTAATCACCATTTTCTTGTTAGCTATTAAAGTTAATCGCAAGGATAGAAAATAAATTTTATAATTATTTTTCAATCACTGTCATAATTATATTGATGAACGTGCACATTTTTTGGTTGTTAATGGCTTTTGTAGATAGTTCAAACAAAAAAAAAGCTTAATTTAAAAAGGTCCGTCTGTTTTATGTAATTGTAAAATGTGAAAAAAGTTAGTGACAAGAAAACGGGCGGTTTAACACAATGTATTACCGTGTTTAACCCCTTCTTTACAAATAAAAAGATCTCGAAGAGAGATTTTATCACCAAGTGCAATTCGCTTCGGAACCGATGCATCACAATCGATTTACACTAGTTAGACATCAATGAAGTCGCCGCCGGCTCGTTGCGGTATCGACTAATTTGTTACTGATAGTGGATAAAATCGATTGGGTAACCGACTTTATCGTCGGGTTTGAACTAAATATATATTACCAAGTAAGAGACAATGATGTATAGATTTTCTGATGCATTAAGAAGTTTTATATACTTTACAGCCTTGATTCCCAAACTAGCGTGAACTGTATATCTGGAATCAGTTCCTTCCCAAAAAGTCGCTGGCAAAAGCTGATTAAAAAAAGGCTTTTAAAGTTGTCAAAATAAACATTTGTCATTTCATTCATCGGTAGGCTTTTGTAAACAATGTACTGTAAATGGATTGCCGTCAAACAACAGAGCTACCATTAGCGCTGGCGTATCAATCGATTCGTTATCGATACCGCGGCAAGAATCGATTGGTGACATTGGCAGTCAAACACATACATTGTTTCCCATGAATATTGTTTCAAATACTCTTTCATTCGTGCGATTGAATTAATTATTAATAGTAAATAAGTTCAAAAGCCGAATGAGAAAAAAATGAAACATGTTCAAAGTGTTTTAGTTGTAGTTTTCAACCTATTTTATAAAAGGAGAAGGTTTACAGGTCAGGTGGTAACATATTATTTGGAAACTTACTTTTTATCTAGGATTAACAATTCTGGTTTAGGCTTAATAAAATTATATATAGAAAAAGAACAACTCCCACAACATCTGATAATTAAGGAATGAAGAACAATTCGTCAAAATGTAGGTGTATTGAAAACTTAACTTTAACATTTTGAATAATTACTGTTTTTGAAGGTTTCACGCCCTACTCAACGAATCAATATGTAATTATCGGGGTAAGCTACCGTTTATTTTCGATATTTTTTATAATACGAATGTTAGGGAAGTAATAGCTAGTTTTTTCTTATATTGTTTAATTAGAACATCGTTGGCGCGTGAAATTAAATCAATTAGTAGCAACAATTATTGCAGTTGTTGACCGAATGGTAACATAACACTACAATATAAATCTCAAATGTATTTTTTATAGAGCCAATGTATTTACATTATAGCAGAAGTCTCGTTATACAAGTGTTTAAAGAAATCGATGACCGCTTAACAGAAACCGGGCCGAGTTTTCCTTTTATTACTTCACTATCGAATTTATAACTATATGAACTTATAGACGACCGGATGGCGTAGTGGTTTGTGTAACAGACTGCTATTCTAATGGTCGCGGGTTCGATTCCCGCTCAAGTTAAACATTTGTGTGCATGAACATTTAATGTTTGATTTGATCTGGGTGTTTCAATGTAAAATAAGTATGTATTTACAAAAAAACATACAAATGTATTTATATCAGTTGTCTAGTACCCATAGTACAAGTTCTGCTTAGTTTGGGTCTAGGTGGCGTTGTGTGAATGTAGTAAATCAATATCATATTTTAAAAATATGATTTTTTGTCAGCACTATCAGCTTGTATGTTAATAAGGAATATAAGAAGACGACTTTTTTATGGTAGAGACGAAAGACGAGCAAAAGGGTCACCTGATGGAAAGTGACCATCACCGCCCATGAACGACTGCAACTCAGGAGTCACAAACGCGTTGCCGGCCTTTTTTACTTGTCTCTAAATATCTTAATAATGGTAAAACAGCCTAAAGGAGTAGCCCGATTTACTTAAAGAGAGTTGGTAATGAGCTAATAGAAATTTAACTAACATGCTGATTATGAATGAAATAATGTATAGTAGAAGACCCGATAAATCAAATAGCATTGAGAGAAGTGGAAATGGAGTGAAGAAAACAGCACATTTTGCGTATGTGCACCTCGATAAAGTGAAACTTTAACACTTCAACTATCAAGATTAAAAGCGTTTGTCGTTTTAAACCATTTTTACTTTAGCTACATATGTTACATGTTACAATGTCATTATCAGTAAGACTTTAAAAATATAGAGACACAACTCAATTGATCGTGCTCAGTAGGTAGAGTGATTTGTCCTGGGAATAACATACACAACTACTCTACTAGACCTGTCAATTTGATTAAGATGATAGCTGCCTCAGGCTCCTGATATTTATATATATGTTATAAGACAACTCCCGCATTAGGAATATATCCTGTGTCGCGGGGGTCTTTACAAACATACATGAAACGGACACAAAGACCACCCAGACTAAGAACAACAATTTGTTGATCACACAAAGTGTCGTCCCATGTGGGGATCGAACCCACAACACTCAGCGTAGTAGGAAGCGGTGTGGCGACTGCTTAAGCCATCCGTGCAATTTCAGCCTATTGTCTTTCAAAAATACTTCGTATCTCTAAGACATACAAATTTGTATTTGTACTATGACCTTGTAGGCCATCCCACATAATCAAATTTGTATGTATTTATTTT